CTAGTAATATATTTACTGAGAAAAATGGTGACGTGTTCAATACTTATTTCACCCGCTGTAATTAATCTATGGATGGATGGTTGGATGGGCCATGTACAGTGTAAAATTTAGTTATCCTGGACAAGAAAAAGAAGAAAGCTGGGCTTGACCAAACCTTTTTGAAGCATCCCGGCTTAAGTTTAAGTTTTTTCCACAAACCCCAAGATAGAAAGAGGAGACGCAACTAAGTCAATTATCTTAACAACTGCAATAATACAGGTCAAACTTATTTGCATGTTTAATGACAAGGGCAGCAGTTTTATATGACCGCTGTGGCTTTTACTGTTACCATACAAATTACTTTAATTTGAAAATCATAATGGTCTGTTAAATGTCCTTATTAAGTTTCAGTTTATGAGCCTAGTTATAGAGTTCTAATGTGATATAATGTTTAAAAAAGAGAAACACTTATGGCTTCATACAAACATGAATTAGTTGTTTAAGATAGTTGTACAGAGATGCATTTGTTGCATAGCATCACAGGACTGAGTCATAAAAACACACTCCAGGACTAATAGTCAGTCTAAGCTAACTTCACAGAATAAATCTRCATGGTCACTCGTGTGTCACTGTTTTTGTGAAACAAATTCAAGAAACAGCTTTCTGGTCTCAATKCCTGATTACCACACCTGTCCTGCATGTGCAGTTTTTTTCCTTTCCATCAATCCTCTTCTAGAGCATTTTCATTGCTAGTCACATCTTAGCTAAAACAAAACAAAACAAAAATAAAAACATAAAAAATGAAAGAGCAAATAACTGGTTTGTTTTTCTACAACCACAGAGCTACCATAAAACCARGTCTGTGTCATTTTAAACATCTGTTTCTTTAAATGTTTGTATTCTMAGATTATGCAGAAGGCAGTGCAGGGCGACCTTTATCTCCATAGATATGGACAGACATTTTTAGGGTTGCACCAATGTGAAAATTTCAACCGATATCGATATCTGATATTAATATTGCTGCTATGGCCAATAACTGATATTTACCGATATTACACAAACACACAATGTGCGTAAACATACTGTATACGCACAAACACACTTGTCTTTTTTTGACACCGTAAAAAACAACCAGACCTCTGATATGGCTCTCTACTTCAGTTATTACTGGCTGCGCAGCGTCACTATAACTATGGTCAAACAAACACCTCTCAACCAGCTACTTCCCCTCCCGAAACAGAAACATTAAGCTAAAAAGTGGGAAATCAATATCAGACTTTAAAATGCCTGTGACATGTATATACGTGAAATGCAAAAAGTCAAAGAAAATATATTTATATTTAAGAAACTTAGCATCATACACATGATTTTATCCGTTATGTAACATAATCG